GGATCGAGCCCTGCATCGGGCTGCCTGCTCTGCGGGAAGCCTGCTTCTCCCTCTCCCACTCCCCCTGCTTGTGTTCCTTCTCTCACTGTGTCTTTCTCTGTCAAATAAATAAATGAAATTAAAAAAAAAAAGTCATCTCCACTTTAGTCACCTAAATTTTCTAGTGTTATCTTCTAGAATTTGTATAATTTTTTTTTAAAGATTTTATTTATTTGAGAGAGTGAGAGGGAGGGGGGAGGAGCAGAGGGAAAGGGGACAAGCAGATCCCAGGCTGAATGTAAAGCTGATGCAGGCTCAATCCCATGACCCTGAGATCATGACCTGAGCTGAAATCAAGAATCGGACACGTAACGTACTGAGCCACCCAGGCACCCTGTATATGATAATTTTTATTTCACATTAGTTCTGTGATCCATTTTGAGTTAATTTTTATGAAAGATGTAAGGTCTGTATCTAAATGTTCTGTTACATTTTGTTTTGTTTGTATGTAGCTGTCCAGTAGTTATAGCACCATTTAGTGTAAAGGCTATCCCCTTTCCATAGAATTGCTTTTGTTCCTTTGACAAAGATCAGTTGACTATATTTTTGTGTCTGTGTGTTTCTGGGCTATCTATTCTGTTCCATTGATTTGTCTATTTTGTGTCCATATCACACTGTCTTGATTATTGTAGCTTTATGGTAAGTTTTAGCATTAGATAGTGTCAATCTTCTAACTTTGTTCTTTTTCAGTATTGAGCTATTCTGGGTTTTTTGCCTTCCGATATAAACTTTAGAATCAGTATGTTGGTATCAACAAAATAACTTGCTGGGATTTCACTGGATCTGTAGGTTAAATTGGGAAAAATGGATATCTTAATAATATTGTCTTCCTGTCCATGAATATGGACATTCATTTATTTGGATCTCCTTTGATTTCTTTCATCAGTTTTTCAGTTTTCTTCATTTAGGTCTTGTATACATATTTTGTTAGGTTTATACCTAAGTATTTCATTTTTTAATTTTAATGTAATGTATTTTAGATTTCATATTCTAATTGTTCCTTGCTGTTACATAAGAAAGAAATGGGCTTTTGTATATTGCTATAATCACTTACTAGTTCCAGGAGGCTTTGGATTTTGCTTTGTTTTTTGATGGGGGTTGATTCTTTGAGATTTTCTACATATATAATCAAATCATCTATAAACAAAGATGATTTTATTTCTTTTTTTCCCAGTCTGATAGTTTTTATTTCCTTTTCTTACTGTATTGCATAGTTAGGATTTTCAGTACATGTTTTATAGAGTGGTGAAAGGAGATATCCTTGCCTTTTTCTCCAGTGTAGGGAGAAAGCATCTGGTTTCCTACCATTAAGTATAGGCGATCCCCGATATAAGATTTGACTTTATGATGGTATGAAAGTGATACACATTCAGTAGAAACTATACTTCAAATTTTGATTTTTGATCTCTTCCCAAGCTAGCAATATATGGTATGATGCCTGGCAGCAGTAACAAACCACAGTTGTCAGTCAGCCACGTGATCATGAGGGGAAACAACTGATACACTTATAACCATTTTGTACCCATGCAACCATCCTGTTTTTCACTTTCAGTACAGTATTCAATAAATTACATGACATATTTAGCACTTTACTATAAAATGGGTTTGTGTTAGATGATTTTGCCCAACTGTAGATTAATGTAAGTGTTCTGAGCACATGTAAGGTAGGCTAGGCTAAGCTATGGTGTTCAGTAGGTTAGGTGTATTAGATGTATTTCAACTTACAATATTTTTAACTTATTATGGGTTTATTAGGACATAACCCCATCATAAGTTGAGGAAGATCTGTATGATGTATGAGTTTTCTAGCAAATATTCTTTACAAGTTGAGGAAGTTTTCCTTTATTCTTAGTTTGCTGAGAGTTTTTATCATAATTGGGTGTTGAATTTTGTCATATGCTTTTTTGGCATGTATTGATATGATTATATGACTTTTCTTTTTTGCCTGGTTGATATGGTGAATTTCATTGATTACTGAATGTTCAACCTGCCTTGCATACATGGAATAAATTCCATTTGGCTATGGCATATAATTCTTCTTATATTTTGTTGGATTTGATTTGTTGATTTTGTTGATGAATTTGCATCTGTGTTTATGAGAGATTGGTCTGTAATTTTTCTTTCTAGTGATGTCTTTGTTTGATTTTGGTATTAGGGTGATGCTGGCCTCCTAGATCAAAGAGAGTTTAAAGAATTAGTGTTATTTATTTATATGCTTGGTAAAATTTACCAGTGAAACCATCAGGGCCTGGTACTTTCCATTTTAAAAGGCTATTAGTTATTAATTTAATTATTTCATATATATGCCCTTTCAGATTATTTCTCCTAGTGTGAGTTTTAGTAGATTGTCTTTCAAGGAATTGGTCCATTTCATCTAAGTTACCAAATTTTTGGCCATTGAGTTGTTTATAGTATTCTTTTCTTATTCTTTTAATGTCCATGGGATCGGTTGTGAAGGCTCCTCTTTTATTCCTCATACTAGTAATTTCTGTCTTTTTTCTTTTTCTTGGTTAGCCTGGCTAGAATTATATCAAAGTTATTGGCCTTTTCAAAAACCCAGGTTTTGGTTTTATTTATTTTGTGATTTTCTCCATTTAATTTATTCTCTTTGGGGTTCATTAACTTCTTGAATTTGTAGATGTATTTCTTTGCCTAATTTAGGAAGTTTTTCATCATTATTTCTGTGAGTACTTTTTCACTTCTGCTTTATTTCTTCTTTCCTCCCTGTACTGGAGGATACAAATATTAGATCTTTTATATAGTTCCACAGATCCTGAGGCTCTGTTTTTTTTTACAGTCTATTTTCTCTCTCTTGTTTAGGTTGGGTAGTTTCTATTCTGTTTTCCAGCTTAAAGATTCTTTTCTCTGTCTCCTACATTCTGCTGTTGAGCTCATTCACTAAGTTTTTTATTCTAGATATTTTCAGCTCTAAAATTGTCTTTTTTTTTTTTTTTTGGAACTGAAGGGGATTATGCTAAGTGAAATAAAATTTCCATTTGATTCTCCTTTGTATCTTCAATTTCTTGACTGAGACTTTCTATTTCTTTACCAAGATGTTCTATTTTTTCATTTGTTTCAAGGATGTTCTTAATTGTTATTGAAGTACTTTTATGATAGCTGCTTCCAGGTCTTTGTCAGATAATTGTAACATGTCTGTCATCTCAGTATTGGTATCTCTCTTTTTCAAAAAGATTTTATTTATTTATTTATTTATTTATTTATTTATTTATTTATTTATTTATTTATTTATTGAGAGAGAGAGAGCACAAGCAGGGGCAGAGGGAGAGGGAGAAGCAGACTCCCCACTGAGCAGGGAGCCTGCTGTGGGGCTCGATCTCAGGACCCTGGGATCATGACCTGAGCTGAAGGCAGACGCTTAACCAACTGAGCCACCCGAGTGCCCCTCAGTATTGGCATCTCATAATTATCCTTTTTCATTTACTTTGACATCTTTCTGGTTCTTGATATGATGAGTGATTTTTGATTGAAACTTATACATTTTGGGTATTGTGTTATGAGTCTCTAGATCTTATTTAAGGCTGTTTGATCTGTTTTTTTCTGACACCTCTTTCTCTGATAGGGAAGGGAGAGATGCTATCTCATTACTGCCAGGTGGGTATAAAAGTCCAGGTTCCTCAAGCAGCTTCCATTGACACCCAAGTGGCAGGAGTGTGGGGGAGGAGGTCATCCTTACTTTTGACCAGAACTGGGAGTTCCAGCTCCCCACTAGGCCTCCACTACTACTGACCTGGCTAAGAGGTATAGGAATACTTTGATATTGTTCCCCACATGGCCTCCACTGATAGCATGCTGAATAGGCTGGCCTCATTAACACTGTAGTAAGGAAAGTTCTCACTCTCCACTAAGCCTCCTCTGATACCACCCAGCAGGGAGGGAGAGGATTATCTCATTATCCCTGTAAATCCAGGCTCCCCTTGTGGTGTCCACTGATAATATGGTTGGTTACCACCTGGAAGGGGTGAAAGCCCCAGGTCCCTGCTTGACTTTCTCTGAAATCTGTGGGATATTAGAGCACGTTGGTTCAATTTGGCAGGGATGGAAATCTACTTTTTGTTTCTATGGATTTGCCTAATATGGACATTTCTATATAAATGGAGTTTGTGGCCTTTTAAAACTGGCTTCTTTCACTTAGTATAGTGTTTTCTTTAATTATTTAAAAGATTTTATTTATTTATTTGAGAGAGCGAGAGTAAGAGAGAGGGAGCACAAGCAGGGGAAGCAGCCAAGGGAGAGGGAGAAGCAGACTCCCCACTGACCAGGGACTCGACATGGGCCTGGATCCTAGGACCCTGAGATCATGACCTGACAAAGGCAGACACTTAACTGACTGAGTCACCCAGACACCCCAGTATAGTGTCTCCAAGGTTCATCCATGTTGTAGCATTTATCAGTACTTCATTTCTTTTATTGCTAGATAATATTCCATTGCATGGATGTACCACATTTTGTTTCTGTTCATCAGATGATGGACATTTGGATTGATTCCACCATTTGACTATTATAAATAATGCTGTTATAAAAATTCATATTCAGGTTTTTGTATGGACATGTTTTCAGTTCTCTTGGATATGTACCTAGCAGTAGAATTGCCGGGTCCTGTGGTATCTCTATGTTTAAGTTTTTGAGAACTCCATTTCTAAAAATTAATTTTTGTCTTAACTGTATTGTGATCTCAGTAAAGAGGCCTGAGATATTTTATAGTGTTTTGGGGGTTCTTAGAAAGAACTGTCCCCAGACTTCAGGTTTATTCTTTGCTTACATCTGTATTCTTTTCATTAAAATGGCAGGTGCTGATAATTAAGTTACTCAAGAGATCTATGAATTAGATGAATATTAAAGTGCTTTACACCATTATTCATTTGGAGACACTGTGAATGTATAATTATTCATAGTCATGACTTTCATAGTCATAAATTTACCTGTGCTTTTTAATTATTTAGAGAAAACAAAGTGAGTGCTTGCAATTAAAAATTTTGGTGCTTCGAAATGAACTGGAAAGACAGAAGAAGGCTTTGGGACGGGAGGTGGCATTACTGCATAAGCAACAAATTGCATTACAGGACAAAGGTGAGTAAAAATAACCATACAAACAGCCTAACCGCTACATTCAGTTTTCCTTTTTCTTTCTCCATAGGTTCAAATAGTCATCTTTGTACAGATATGCTGATACGATTTTAAAAATTATTGGGAAGTATTTTGAAGGTGATACATACAGAAACGTGTACAAAGACACACACACACACACACACATTATATTTCAAAATTTCAAAATGAGCACACTTACACAGGCAGCATCTCCACTGGGAAACGGCATTAAAATAAGCCCAGAATCTCAGAAGCTTCCTCATATTCCCTTCTGTTTAGGACATCTCCAACCAGACTAACCACTACTTTGACTTATTACACCAAAATTGGTTTTGCTTCATCTTAAACTTTTTGCAAGTTAGATCATATAATATGTGCAGTTTATGTGCTGGCTTCTGTTCAACATTTTGTTTGTAAGTTTCATCCTAACCTGCATGTACTGTAGTCTTAGTTCATTTTTACTGCCAATAGTATTCCGTTGTGCAAATATAAATATGAATTTATTGATTCTGGCTTTTGATAATTTCTAGTTCAGAACTATTAGATAATGCTTCCATGAACTTTTTCATGCATGCTTCTTAATGAAGATTTTTTTTTTATGCATTTCTGTTGGATTTGGAGCAGAATTACATAGTCACAAGATAGGCATATCTTCAGCTTTAGTAGATTGTGTCGAAAAGGTTTCCAAAGCGCTTGTGCCCAGTTTACCTCCTCTCCACCCAGCAGTGTATCAGATCTCTTATCCTGTATCCTTGTCGGCACTTGGAACTTTCTGTCTTTTGTATTTTAGTCTTTCTAGTGGGTATGTTGTAGTATCTCCTCGCAGTTTTAATTTTGATATTCCTGAAAACTAATGAAGTTGAACACTATTTCATGTTTCTTGCTGACTGGGATACACTCCTTTGTGAAGTACCTGTTGAAATCTTCCTGCCATGACCTTCCCACCTGCCCCCACTGGCTTTTTTTATTGGTGGGGGGGGACAGTTGTTCTTTATATATTATAGATAAGGGTTCTTCGTTTGAATATACATTTAAAAATGTATTCTCCCATTCTGTGGCTTGCTAGTTCATTCTTTTTTTTTTTTTTTTTAAGATTTTTATTTATTCATTTGAGAGAGAGAGAGACAGAACACAAGCAGGGGGAGAGGCAGAGGGAGAAGCAGGTTCCCTGCTGAGCTGGGAGCCCAATATGGGACTCGATCCCAGGACCCTGGGATCATGACCTGAGCCAAAGGCAGACGCTTAACCGATTGAGCCACCCAGGCGCCCTTGCTGGTTCATTCTTTAATGATACCCTTAGATGAACAAAAATTCCATTTTATCAATCTTTCCTTTTATAGTTAAGATTTTTTATGTCCAGTTTAGGGAATATTTGCTGATTTTAATGCCATAAAAGTGTTATTCTGTATTTTTTTAAGTACTTTACTTTTTACATTTATGATTCATCAGGTTTTGATTTTTTGTGTATGATGTCAGATAAGATTCATTTTTTTCATACAGATAGTCAATTGACCCAGTACCATTTATTAAAAACCTTTCTCCCTTGCACTGCAGGTTCACTTTTGTCATAAACTAGTGACCATGTACTTCCATGTCTGTTACAGGACTCTGTTCTGTGGATCTATTTGCCTGTTCCTTTGCCATTATCTCACTGTTTTAATTTCTCTCATGTTATAATTGGTCTTCATATCTGTTAAAGTTCTTCTGCTTAGTTATTCTTTTTCAGGATCACCTTTCTTCATCTTAGTAAGGATGGAAATCTACTTTTTTGTTTTTATGGTTGTGCCTGTTCTGGACATTTCATATAAATAGAATCTTTGGCCATTAGCATGACTAATAACTAGCTTATTCTTATCCTTTCTGCATTTTCATAAGGTTCTACACAGAAAAGAAAATCTGGCTAGTATTTTGATTGGGACTACATTTAATATATTTATCAATACAGTTGGGGATAATGGACATCTTTACAATATTGAGTCTTCCAACCCAAGAAAATGGTATATGCCTTTGTTTATTAAATCTTCTTTACAAAACATGATTGAAATAAACTAATTGTTAGTACATGGATGTTTCCTATGACTCATTGGATTTATTTCTATTTTTTGATATTTTATTATACTACTATAAATATGTTTAAATTTTATGTTCTACTTTTTGCTGATAATATAGAAATACAATTGTTTTAAAGTAGTTTGATTTTTTTTTATATGTACAAATTCCTACATCACATTCTGACTCAGCATGACTTACAAAGGCCTCCTATGACCCACGTCAATCTGAATGCTTCAGCTATAAAGAACTTCTTTTAGTTCTTAAATATGCTTCAGTCTGTCTTGCCTGCATTTAAGCCTCTTTTAAATGTTACTTTCTCCAGGAAATTTTTCACTGGTTCCCTTTCCCTTGTCCTACCTCTGCCCCCTTGGTTAGATGTACTACTATGTGTTTCCATAGCATCCTGTGTTTTTCCGTTATGGCATTGTAATTATTAGTTTATCCCCTCCTCTAGACTCTAAGATCTCTGAGGGAAGACATTGCCCATGTACTATGTTAAATACTCTTCTATTCTTTGAGCATGGTACAGTGTCTGGGGTGCAGTAAGCATTGAATGAATATTTATTGAATGAATGAATCATCTCCATGGTATCAGTCTAATGTCATGGGCATCATTGCTAAAGAATAAAGACTTCTGGGGCACCTGGGTGGCTCAGTTGGTTAAGCGACTGCCTTCGGCTCAGGTCATGATCCTGGAGTCCCGGGATCAAGTCCTGCATCAGGCTCCCTGCTCGGCAGGGAGTCTGCTTCTCCCTCTGACCCTCCTCCCTCTCATTCTCTCTGTCTCAAATAAATAAATAAAATCTTTAAAAAAAAAAAAAAAGAATAAAGACTTCTGTAGCTGCTAGCTTAGCATTCATTTGGGAAAACTGATACTCTCATGTGAAACACTATAGAAAAAAACACTATGTTGTTGGCAGTGATTGTTAAAACTATCTGCACTGCAACACAGCTTGCATATTGATTTTTAGACGTGAGAGTCTGTTGGGATAATGCCACTTAAAGTCATGAGACATTGTGAGCAAAGTCCATTTCCACGATCTCTGTTGAGTGACTCCAAATAACTAAGTAGCTGTGTACATACAAGAACTGCTTTTAAGAGTTCTTCTCTTCTGTGAAAAGACACATTTCTTATGGTGCTTTGAAATTTTTATTATACTCAAATTGCCTGCTACCTGTAGCATGTATTTCTGCATATCTTTTTTTAAGGTCGTCGATTTTTAAAATGAGAACACTATAGGGTTTTAGAGGGGTTCAGGGCATTTGCAGTTTTCTAAAAAGAGAAGTAATAATACTAATAGCTTTAATGTTTCAGTTACCATACTTATCACTATATAGATATGATGTTATTTAATCACCACAATAATTCTGTGAGGTAAGTACTATTATTATTGACATTTTACAGTTGAGGAAACTCTTGGTCAGGGTCAGAGACATTAAATACCTTTCTTAAGTTCACACAGCTAGTGACAGGTGATGTTGGAATTAAAATCCATTGATTCCAAAACTCTCATTCACTGTATAAGACTACATTTTACCATAGGTATGCTATGTAAAGCCTGTGGAAGGTGTATTATTAATAGCATATGGTAAAAGGATAGGGAGATTAGAGTTCTCCCATTATGTTCCCAACTGTGTTTTTTCTTATAATGATAAAGTTCCAGGAAATCTATCATCAGCCTGTAAACAGGTGAAATTATAAACAGTGACTTCTATCCCATTTAAAAGACTGAGTGTAGGGACTGCTGTGTGGCTCAGTCAGTTAGGCGTCTACCTTCAGCTCAGGTCATGATTCCAGGGTCCTGGGGCTGAGTCCCGCATCAGACTCCTTGCTCAGCAGGGAGCCTGCTTCTCCCTCTGCCTGCCTCTCCCCTGCTTGTATTCCCTCTTTCTCTCTCTGACAAACAAACAAACAAAAAAAGACTGAGTGTAATAATAATTGCTCATATTTATAGGATACTCATTACTGTGAGGTAATGTCTTGTGTTTTCTATTCTTTATCTTTTTTTTTTTTTTTTTAAGATTTTACTTACTTATTTGACAGAGAGAGCAAGCACAAGCAAGGAGCAGCAGAGGGAGAGAAGCAGGCTCTCATACTGAGTAAGGAGCCCAACATGGGGCTCGATCCCAGGACCCTGGGATCATGACCTGAACTGAAGGCAGACACCTAACCAACTGAGCCACCCAGGCGCCCCTGTTCTTTACCTTATTTGGTTTTTACCTGTAGTCCTATGAATTAAGGGTATTCTTATTATCCTCCTAATAATAAATATATATTATTATTCAATTTACAGATGAGGAAACTGAGTCTCAGAGAGGTTAAGTGACTTGCCCAAAGCCACATAGCAAGTTGTAGTGGAGCCTATGTTCAAAGTTACTGGTGCCTAACTACAGCAAAGGAAGATTATAGGATTTTGTAGATATCTGTTCTAGTGTTTTAATTCTGACAGTCCAGTCAGAATTAGCACATTCTTATATCTCCATTTTATCATGGAAATAAAGGATGGTAATGCTCAAAGTTAAATATATATTTGCTAGGATGGGTCAGAATTCTTGATTTTTAACACTGACTCTGTATTGCAGGAGCTTCCCCCTACTTTTATACGTACTTTTGAGATGAGTATTATTTTGTATTTTCCTGAACTTTAGAATCATTGGAAGGTTAAAATCTAACATGTTGGTCTCAAATGTAAGCAAGAGACAGTTGGGCCACTGCTCTTCCAGCAGGGACCCAACAAGCGGCAGATCTGGGGAGACTCCCCTTCCTCCCCCGGGAGGAGCGGCGTGGGAGCACACTGCAGGGATCTGCTGGGTTTGGAGACTCCACACAGGGTCGGGTGCCAGAGATAGAAATGCTCGGTCACAGGCTGGGTGAGCACGGAGTGCGGCCAGAGACCAGGGAGACAGGAGTGATTGACTGCTTTTCTCTG